ATCATAAAGAGCCATAAAGACCCACAGCTAATATCATTCTCGATGGTAAAAAACCGAGGTTTTTCACCTATGGTCAGGAATAAGACAGGGATGTCCACTCTCACCATTACTATTTAACATAGTACTGGAATTCTTAGCTTCAGCAATCAGATAACAAAAAGAAATAAAATGCATCCAAATCAGCAAAGAAGAAGTTAAACTTTCACTATTTGCAGATGACATGATTTTCTATGTGTAGAAAACCCAAAACACCACCCCAAATTGCTAGAATTCATACATGAATTTAGCAAAGTTGCAGGATATAAAATCAACTTACAGAAATCTGTTGCATTTCTATACACCAATAATGAAGTTACAGAAAAAGAAATCAAGGAATCGATCCCATTTGCAATTGTACCAAAAACAATAAGATACCTAGGAATAAACCTAATCAAAGATGTACAGTATCTGTACTCTGAAAACTACAGAATACTTAGGAAAGAAATTGAAGAGGACACAAAGAAATGGAAAAACATTCCATTCTCATGGATTTGAAGAACAAACATTGTTAAAATGTTTATACTACCGAAAGCAATCTACACATTTAATATAATCCTTGTCAAAATACCATCAGCATTTTCCCCAGAGCTAGAACAAATAATCCTAAAATTTGTAGACCCCACAGAAGACCCCAAATAGCCAAAGTAATCCTGAAAAACAAAAGCAAAGGTGAAGGCATTACAATTCTGGACTTCAAACTATATTACAAAGCTATAGTCATCAAGGCAGTATGGTACTGGCACAAAAACAGACACACAGATCAGTGGAACAGAATACAAAACCCAGAAAAGGTGACTCCTGGGTGGCTCAGTCAGTTAAGTGTCCAACTCGTGATTTTGGCTCAGGTTATGATCTCATGGGTTGTGGGATGGAGCCCCACGTTGGGGTCTGTGCTCAGTGGGAGTCTGCTTGAGTTTCTCTCCCCCTGCCCCTTCTCTCCTCTCTCTCAAATAAATAAATATTTATATATTTAACATTTAATAAAAAATATGTATTTTTTAAAGGAAAGAAAACCCAGAAATGGTACCACAACTATATAGTCAACTAATCTTTGACAAAGTAGGAAAGAATATCCAGTGGAAAAAAGACAAGTCTCTTCAACAAATGGTGTTGGGGAAACTGGACAGCAACATGCAGAAGAATGAAACTGGACCCCACCCTTTTATACCATACACAAAACATTAAAAATGGATGAAAAATCTAAGTATGAGACAGGAATACTTCAAAATCTTAGAGTAGCACACAGGCAGCAACCTTTTTCACCTTGGCAATAGAAACTTCTTACTAGACACGTCACTGGTGACAAGGGAAACATAAGCAAAAATGAACTATTGGGACTTCATCAAGATAAAAACTTCTGCACAGTGATGGACACAATCCACAAAATTAAAAGGCAGCCTACAGAATGGGATAAGATATTTGTAAACAACATATTGAATAAAGTGTTAGTATCTAAAATCTACAAAGAACTTAACAAACTCAACACCCAAAAAACAAATAATCCAGTCCAGAAATGGACAGAAGACATGAATATACACTTTTACAAAGAAGACATCCAGGTGGCTAATAGACACATGAAAAAACACTGAACATCACTCATCATCAAGGAAATACAAATCAAACCCACGATGAGATACCACATCACACCTGTCACAATGGCCAAAATTAACAAAACAAGAAACAACAGGCATTGGTGAGGATGTGGAGAAAGGTGAACCAACCCTCTTACACTGTTGGTGGAATGCAAACTGTTGCTGCTACTCTGAAGAACACTTTGGAGGTTCCTCAAAAAGTTAAAAATAGAACTACCCTATGATGTAAGCAATTGCAGTACTAGAAATTTATCCAAAAGATACAAAAATACAGATTTGAAAGAGTACATGCATCCTGATGTTTATAGCAGCATTATCAACAATAGCCAAACTATGGAAAGAGCCCCATTGTCCATCAACTGATGATTGAATAAAGAAGATGTGGTATATATATATATATATAATGGAATATTACTCAGCCATCAAAAATAATGAATTCTTGCCATTTTCAACAATGTGGATGGAGCTTGAGTGTATTATGCTAAGTGAAATAAGTCAGTGTAAGACAAATACATATGATTTCACTCATATGTGGAATTCAAGAAACAAAACAGATGAAAAAGAGAGAGAGAAAAACAAACCGTAAGAGACTCTTAAGGATAGAAAACAAACTGAGGGTTGATTGAAGGAGGTGGATGAGGGACGGGCTAGATGCGTGATGGGTATTTATGAGGGCACTTGTGATGAGCACTAGATGTTGTATCTAAGTGATGAATGACTGAATTCTACTCCTGAAACCAATATTTCTTTTTAATTTATTTATTTGAGAGACAAAGAGCACACACATGAGTGGGGGGGGGGCGGGGAAGGGCAGAGGGAGAGGGGAAGCTGACTCCCTGCTGAGCAGGGATCAGGACACTGGGCTCAATCCCAAGACCCCGGGATCATGACCTGAGCTAAAGGCAGATGCTTAACTGACTGAGCCACCCAGACGCCCCTCCACTAGAATTAAAAACAAAACAAAAAAAGTTTAGCAGGATTTCTGGCTTCTACCCACTAGATGGTAGTAACACCTCCCCACGCTTACCTTTCATGACAACCAAAAATGTCTCCATACATTGCCAAATGTCACCTGTGGGCCCAAATCACCCCTGGTTGAGAACCCATGTTTTATATGTACACTTTATTCGGTAGGAATAAGTGCTATACTGGTAAATATTTAGCCTAGTCACTCTCTTGTGGAAAACACACACACACACACACACACACGACTCAGTTTGTACTATTTGCTAATTTCCATACTCCCTTAATGACTTGTTTCTAGCTCAAATGCCATCAACCTGCTTGCATAATTCCTAAATTTAGCAGTCATCTTTAGCAAGCTTTTTAAAGCCTGCTTCAGCAAATTACAGATAAGGATTAACAGTGTTTGAGTGAATAGAGCATTCCAGCTGAGACTTGATGTTAAAGTGATTCCTGGACCAGGGTGCTAGCAACCAGAAATAGGTCCAGAGCTCCAACTTTTGTGGTCTCCTCTCCTTTCACTGTGGGCTTTGACACCTATTTTCTTTTTTTTTTTTAAATTTTCTATTGTTATGTTAATCCCCATACATTACATCATTAGTTTTTGATGTAGTGTTCCATGATTCATTGTTTGTGCATAACACCCAGTGCTCCATGCAGAACGTGCCCTCTTTAATACCCATCATCAGGCTAACCCATCCTCCCACCCCCCTCCCCTCTAGAACCCTCAGTTTGTTTTTCAGAGTCCATCGTCTCTCATGGTTCGTCTCCCCCTCCGATTTCCCCTCCTTCACTCTTCCCCTCCTGCTATCTTCTTCTTCTTCTTTTTTTTCTTAACATATATTGCATTATTTGTTTCAGAGGTACAGAACTGTGATTCAACAGTCTTGCACAATTCACAGCGCTCACCATAGCACATACCCTCCCCAATGTCTATCACCCAGCCACCCCATCCCTCCCACCCCACCCCCCACTCCAGCAACCCTCAGTTTGTTTCCTGAGATTAAGAACTTCTCATATCAGTGAGGTTTGACACCTATTTTCAATGTTCACTATCACGATCTAATGATTTGCTTTCCTTGGAACTTTTCAGTGAAGCTGCTGCAGCCGAAGTCCAAGATGGAAAAGTCTTTGGCATTCAGGCAGTACTGAGGCGACAGGACTTCCTATTTTCTCATGGCCAGTCAAATAGACAAATTGGGTTCAAGGCCTCTAGAGAAAGCCCTTAATAATGTGGGCTCAAGGTCCTGGCAGATTTATGCCCTTCTTTCATTTCTCTTAGGTAATAAGTCAACTGGGTTGACCTGTAGCTTGAAATAGTCCAAAGAGTGCATCTAGGGTAGGATATGTGTAGTAGGCTTGGGATGGCTGTGTAGAATTTTGAACACGGGTCAATCAAATCTCTGTGTAGTGAGAAGACATATGGTAATTGATGTATGAAGTCAGAGAATAAACTTTTTAGAAATAATTCTAAAGATCAATTTGTGTGCAGATTCTCCCAGGTGATTGTCCAAGTCCAGACAAATTCTCAATTCTGAGTATGATGCCTTAGCCTTTATAATGGTGAAGATTGTTCACATGTGGCACAATGTACTATTATTAGATAATAAAATTACATGTTTTGAATGAAAGGTATTGGAATGGGTACTGGACAACATATACATATTTTTTGATAAAATAGTACTCTAACTCTATTAATGATGACAAAAAATCAATGAAATGGCAAGGTTAGTTTTATACTAAAATAGCAATATAAGTAGGAGAAAAATATCACTTATAAAATTATACTGGTTGCAATAACATTTCTTAATCATGCAATAAAATTAAAAAGCATCACCATATAATCACAAATGTTTATAGCAATGCAAGCTCAGATCTGGATCCTTTTGATTTGGTTCTGATTTGCATTTACTTTTCTTCATTTGTGAACAGCATTACATTGCCATTTTCAGGCATATGTAAGCTTCTTTAAGACTTCAAAGGTTTCAATTTATTCTTTTAATTCTGGCTTTTTACTTAACTATTTTGCCAAGGAAGCTAGAAATAAATTTTAAGATAAATGTAAATACCTTGTATTATATACTGATTTTCACCTTTTAAACTTTTCCTTCCTTTCTTCCCCTATTCAATCATTTGTTCATATAAATGTTTGAGTACCTATAGTGGTGCCCAAATCTATGTTTGGTGCTAGGGAAACAGAAGCTATGACTCAGGAGGTCATAACAAACTCTTGGAAGGAAATCTGGGAAACTCTATGAAGAGGTACTTAATATGGCAGTCCTTCAAAGACTTAGAAATAGAGTTACTTGTCATATGACCCAGCAATTCTACTCCTTCATATATACCCAAGAGAATTAAAAACATACTGTTCACACAAAAACTTGTACATGAATATTTATTAGCAGCATTATTCATGGTGGCCAAAAAGTGGGAACACGCATATTCATTAACTGATAAATGGATAAATAAAATATGTTATATGCATACAATGAAATATTATTTGGCAATGAAAAGGAATGAAGTACTCACTCATGTTTCAAGATGAATGAACCTTGAAAATACTATACTAAATGAAAAAAGCCAGTCATGAAAACCACATATTATATGATTTCATTTTTATAAAATATTTATAAAATATCTAGAATAGATAAAACTATGGAGACCAAAATAGCCTAGGGTTGGGGCTTGGGGTGGGGAGGGGATGTGACAGCTAATGGGTCCAGACCTACTTTGGGCATGATCAAATTTTCTAAAATTGGTCATGTTCACACAGCTCTGTGAACATATTAAAAACAATTTAATCATCTTAAATGGATGTATTGTATGATATATTACTTATATCTTAATATTATATATTAATATTAATATTATATTATATATTATATATTATATATATAATATTATATATTATATGATATATTACTTTTATCTTTTTTTTTTAAGATTTTATTTATTTATTTGAGACAGAAAGAATGAGAGACAGAGAGCATGAGAGGGAGGAGGGTCAGAGGGAGAAGCAGACTCCCTGCCGAGCAGGGAGTCCGATGCGGGACTCGATCCCGGGACTCCAGGATCATGACCTGAGCCGAAGGCAGTCGCTTAACCAACTGAGCCACCCAGGCGCCCTACTTTTATCTTCATAAAGGTATTTTGTATCATATATGTAAAGCTCTTAGAAAGACTCCTGGCACATATAGCAAGTGCTGTATGAGAGCTAGCTGTTATTATTTAAAATAAAAATTAAAACAAGAAATCATTTTTCACTCTCCAGGTTGGTAAAGATTAAATAGTTCAATAATATACAGTGATGGCCAGAATATCCACAATCATTCAACTCTCCTACACTGTAGGTAGGAATGTAAATTTGTGCAGTTTCATTAGAGGACATGGGGGCTTTACATATTAAGATGATAAATATTCATACTTTTTGACTCAATAATTTTAAAGAATTTGTCTTTTTCATTATAGCCTAGTTTATATTATCAAAAGATCTAAATAACTATTAATGTTGTCTGGTTGAATAAATGATGGTACATCCATATAAGGGAAACTCACATGGCCATTAAAATTTTAAAAAGGGAGGTCTTCCTCATAAGCTCATGTCTAAGTCACATATTAAGTGGAAAAATAAACTGCAGAACAGTTCTTATAGTATGCTAACATTACTGTAAAAAGTAAGTTGTGAATTTGTAGATGAATATGAACATACATAAGCACACATTTACAAACACAGTTATACTTGTAAATGCATAGACTTTCTACAAAGGTACACAAGAAAGGGAACTAGTTGCTTCTGGAGAAAGACTAGAGGATTAAAAGTATGAGGTCAGAAAAAGACTTTGGTTGCACACACATTTGTGCTGCTTGAAATTTTTTGCCTTTTGTGGTTTTATTTTGGTCAAGAATATATTAATTTTTTAACTAAAGAGGTAATTAAGAGGAAGAAGAGAAATATGAGGCCAGCAGAAATCTCCAGTCAGATAAAGAGTCCTCCATTTCCATAACCCAGATAGATTTGGCCTAGATTATGACAAGTTTCATAATTTCAAAATTCAGCAAAAATTAAAAATAAAATATATCTTGCTTTTCCCCCCATTTAACACTGGATCATCTTTTACTCAGTGTTATTAATACCCCCAACAACTATTGACCAAGAACCTCTTAACTTCCCAGCACAGTTTGATGCTATGGGAAGTACCCAGAGGTGATAAGAACAATACCTTCCTTCATGTTACATATAATTTAACAAGATAAACAAGAAAATTTCAAGTAATAAAAGAGCTTAATGATTATTCAAATTAATTCTGTCTGAAGCCTCTAAAAAATAACTTTTTTGAGATGTTACAGTGTCACCAGAAGTCAGCAGGGGGCACTTCAAACATATCTGTGCTGAACTCAGGTTAGCTCATTTTCAGCCTAGATCTTTGATGTTTTGTCTGAAGTTACCTCAGAATGTGAAGTCCTCAGCAAAAAACACTGGTGGTCTTACATATTCAAGTCAAGTCAGGTCTCAGAGAAACTCTCCTTTTATTTCCTACATGGATTTCAGTTTTTAAGTTTTTTTAGTTTTTTTTTTTTTAATAAAACTACTTAAAAATTAACATGGATTATAAATCCAGTAGGCTATCTGTGGGACATTCATTTTGGTTTTTATGAGCTGTCTTCTAGAAAAGGCCTACACCTTTCTCCCCCTCAGCAGTCACAGTATTTGTCTCTCTGGTATGTTCTGATGTGTCTCCCTCACCATAAGGCCTTGTTCCAGGACATGCCATTGCAATGCATTGGCTTTTTAAATTATTATTCACTCTCTCTTTAAAAATTATCTCTTATTTCTCTTCTAAACTTTATTTAGGCAAATCTTTTAATGCTGATATTAAAATATGATTTATTTCTCTTTCTTTCTCTCTTTTTTCTTTCTTTCTTTCTTTCTTTCTTTCTTCTTTCTTTCTTTCTTTCTTTCTTTCTTTCTTCTTTCTTTTGTTGTTTCCTTTCTTTTATTCTTGGAAGAGGGGAGGGGATGGATATCCCCAATGCAAAAAACTAAAATCCTTAAAATGTGTCTGGATTATTTAACACCATACTTTTATTATTGAAGCAATTCTTTCCATACTCCACAGTTCCTTCACCCCCAGAGCAAAGAAAGTATCACTGGTTCCTTTATTCAAACCTGGTGGAGGAAGGAGAGTAGCAAATTGGCTAAGTATAATATATATTTATACTTTATCTTTTTCAAAATATAACATCCAACTTTACCAATGGAGAATTATACTCTGAATTTAACCTTCTTTTGAACTGCCACTTGGAATTTCTTCAACATAGCTTTGCTAGGTAATGAATAAAAGAAGTCTGCAAGGTCAGCATCTCCACTTATCAACTGTCCAGTAGGACAGCTCTAGCCTCAGGCACCAGATCCCAGAGCTATGATCTCAACCTCATCCTCACCCTCACTGTCACATCACCATCTCTGACAGATGCAGCTTGTGCATATGTGCATATGGTAAGTGACACTGGAAAAGTTTTTCACAGCAATTTTTGGTTAGCATTTTGATTTTGCTTTTTCTTATTAAAAGTCAATAGATTTTAAAGTACTTATTATATTTAAGAGTTTATATTTGTAAATTTTATTTTCATTAGCCATGCTTTTTTCTACATTAAATATAATTTTTGTGGTAAAGACCAGATCTACTTCAGTACTGATGTTCTTTTAGAGCCCACTTAGACATTCCATCATATTTTAATTTAGAAAAAAAAAAGCCACAAAAAAAAATGCCCTAAATTATGCATGTGCAACAAACATCTGCTTCTCAGCCTTTTCCAATTTGTAATTACAGCAAGATTAAAATATAACCATCAAATATTTTTCCCCCTTGGGATCGCCAAAGGAAGAAACTTTGTGATTTGTGGTTACTGTTATTTATTCTTGAGTTTCATCTTCCCTCAACTGTACAATGGGAATATTATTAAGTCCAGGGCGTTTTTTGTTTTTGTTTTTGTAATGTTTAAATGCAGAAACGGATGAGAAGTGCTCAGTGTATGCAAATAGCAGTCCCTCAATCTAAATAATAGATGATAGGTAGATAGAACTTCACTACAGTTCTGGAGTTTCTGGTCCTTTCTGTAGGTAAACCCATTTAACTTTTTATTTACATCATTTTAAACTTATATCAGGAGCAAGTGTCCTGCTGTAAGAGTGCTGGGTTGTTAAACTTTTATAAAACAATTTAGCTTCTAATCTGAAGATTTTTAAGCCTGTTACAAAGGAAATGCCAATTATGAAAAAAGTCAAGCATCATGTCATCGGTAATCAAATAACTTTGCTGAAGTTTGGACGAGGCACTTCACCGAGGCACTTCGCTAACGCACAGGCAGTCCAGACCTGGAGATCAACAGCCTCCGCAGTACAACGCAGGCATCTCCGAGAACAGCCAATCAGGAGAGCGCATTGCCGCCACACCCACCTGTTCACTGCTTGTTCTGGCGATCGGAGCCAAATTGTCTCCTTTTTTTGCCAGGCTGAGTTGCTAGGAGTTAATTCTTCCTGGAAATCTCTGCCACTCCGATGGACATGCAGCATAACAGCACAGGCCATTCCAAAGCTGGGTTCGTGTTAAAAAAAAAAAAAAAATTATTCTAACCCTTTATTTCTTTGGTTTTGTTATCTGTTAACCTGGGAAATCATTTTAAACATACATTATAAGACTCAGACTTCCCTTTAGCAGTTACATAAAATCTTGTAGTTCTCTGAAAGACACAGAAGTGCAGATTGGGTTGTTTATCTTAGCAAACAATATTTATGTGGGAAAATAGACCCCATGAGTATTCTATATAAGATAGTAGGCATTTTTGCACTTTTGTTTGTATGTCATTTATATCTTGAGCACATACCATGCAACTGTATTCATTTTGTGTCATTTTTTTTTTTAATTAGAATTTACTATATAGTTTTTGGAGGGCTACCACATCATAGTTATTCATCTTCTGCACAGTCTATTCTGAAGTTCCTGTGAGGGGTTTAATTCTTTGCAGGTTTCAGAATTCCTCTACATGCTTTGTCATATAGAATGAATGTGCACAATATATTGTTGAATAATTGCCAAGACAATATATTGTGTTGTGGCATTTAATGCATCAAATTAACAATAGAATTCTATTTTACAGAATAACAAATTTAGAATTACTGGGGTATTATTAGATGTATTTCATTTATAAGAAAAACTTAACATGTGAGCCCAGTTTAAATTCTGTGGCCTTTCATCTTTCTCACACACAAATGTGGATGGGGGTAGAATGAATGGAAGGAAGCATTCAGGATATTCAGAGAAATAATTCAATATAGACAGTGAACTGAAGGTTTTGATTTATGAGTCTGTTTCTCATGTAAAGTGTGGAGTATAAAGATAATTGTTTTTCTTGGCTAATGCAAATTATTTACATTTAGAAAGATATTTGAAAGTATTCTGAACATTTTGGCAAAAAATACAACATCCAATGAGACTTCATTATTATTTTAGTTGCATACCTCAAGACAACATTTTTAATAGGTTTATTAAGATATAATTTACATACCATAAATTTCACCCATTTAAAGTGTACAAGTCAATGTTTTACCACAATGTAATTTTAAAACATTTTTTATCACCATTCCCCCAAAACTTCTCCATTGTTCCCCAGCCCCTATTCCCCAGCTCCAGGCAACCACTAATCTACTTTCTGTCTCAAAATGTGCCTATTTGTGGATTTTTATATAAATAGAATCATACAATATGTATTTTTTGTGACAGGCTTCTTTCACTTAGCATAACAAATCTAGTTTTATATTATTTGACCTCAATAATCTGTCTCTGATGATAAAATGTTATCCCTGGATTCCTTTATGAGTTTGAGGAGTGGGTATAATTTTCGTGAGAGAAAACTTAGAAACTAGTTAGGGCAGGAGGGCTTTTCTCCACCACATAGGCTAATCCATTTTGCCAATGTTAATATACCAGATTGTGCAAGCATAAGATGCAGAACAATGTGTGTCCATGGATCCCTAAATTGACATTGTACAGAATTTTGGGAAAAACAAAAAGATAAACAACAACCACAAACATTGCAAGTTACAAACAGAAGCCATCAAAAGAGAAGTATAGTTTAAGTATTGATCAAATGTAGTTTAACAGCTTAACTTCCCCTCCTTGGAAAACTGGTGATTGAGAGTATTTAACATAAATGCATATAAATTTGTGTTTGGCGCTTGTACAGGGGGCCCTTGCAAGACAGAGTCCTTAAGAAAAGCAGAGGAACCTTACAGAGAAAGCAAATTTTCCCTTCTGCCCTTTTCCCCTCTTCTCGCGGGCAAGGTTTATCCTCTTTACAGTTTGCGCAAATACTTGGAAGTGAATTTAGGGCCCTCCCCCCAACTTATGATTTTATAGCCAATAGGTGATGAGGTTTATTTGCATATTTCCAGTCACATAAGCAGCTGTGGAGTGGAAACAGTGTCAGACTCGATTCTTCCTCCTCCTCCTCAGAGGGAACCTGCCACTTGTAGCTGCCCTGCCCTCCCTTTTAAAGGGCAACTTGCCCCACGCCGGACCTCAGCTCCAGCCTGCTCCCACCTCGGGCTCGGCTGGTCCATCACCCTGTCCGCGCTTCTGCCAGTGCCCTGTAGCTCCTACAGAGAGACGCGCCCCGAGATGGAGAGCAAAGCACTGTTCCTGGTGGCCCTTGGCATGTGGCTCCAGAGTCTGACCGCCACCCGCGGAGGGGTGGCCGCCGCCGATAGTAAGTTTTGCCCGTAGACTCCCCTCCACCTGCAGACTCCACTTTGGCCACTTCCACACGTTATGAGGATGGGAAAGAGGGAGTCGAAAGGGGTTGCAGATGCGTACCGGAGACCCTCCTAGACTGAGCGCCGGTCCCGAGAAGAGTCAACAGGCTGGGATCCGGGAGGGGTAGGGAGGGAATTCTCCCTCAGATTTTCCTGGAGTCGTTCCCGCGTTGTCCCTTCCAATCTGGCGGAGGCAGTGTTTCCGGGTCCGTAGACTCAGGGAGGAAGAGTAGGGGGTAGCTCGAGGGGCGGGACGAGAGAGGTCGGAGGAAGGGCTTGAATGGCGGTGATCGGCAGTAACTGCCTCGCACGAGGACCCTGGAATGAAAGGCACGCAGGTCAAGGTGACCCTGGCGCGGCCGCCACCGCGGCTCGGCCCCCGCCTACGGGAGCGCCGGGAGAGAGTGGCCCCTTCTCTTAGAGAAGTCGACCCGAGGGGGTGGGGACGGGGGGAGGAGGCGTTGTCCGTATCTCAGAAGCACTGGACACTCGCTCTCGGCGTCGACACGGTGGTGGGGGACTGGACGCGTGGCGCCGAGTCCCGCGGACGCAGCGTCCTGCACGCGTTCGGGAGCCCGGGAAGCTCTTCGGCTTCCATTCTTGCACGCGCCGCTTTTCTTAGCACCCAGAAAACCTAGCGAAGGGCTGCCCTCCTGAAAACATGGCGCAGCGACCTGCAGTCTGTGGCCGCCGGCTTGGGTGTTACGAGGTTTGCATTTGGCTACCCTTAAAGTCCTCGGAGCCGAGTCCCGCTCTGACGCCCAGCTTCGAGAAGCATCCACAAGCACGTGGGGCTTCCGGGAGCCGCAGTGTGAACCCCAGCCACCGCCCTGGCGCCACCGGCTCCTCAGGGTTAAGGCATTACAGGAGAGATGCGAATTTCTTTATTGCGGGGAGGGCAAAAGACCAGCCTGAGACCTGCCCACTATAGAGGCAGTCCTAGTACCTCGAACCCTGCTTGGTTCACCGAACATACAAGAGCAACCAAAAGGCAACTGAAGCAAGTCGTAAGCGCAGGCAACATTTTCTTCTCCCTTCGTGGTGGAATTGCAGTTAGGGCAGTGTGGCTTGGATGTGCTTACAGGCAGCATGGTTCAAGTTATAGTCGAGTTTGTCCATGACTTTGATTGCAGCTGAAAGTTTATTTCAGCAGTGGGTTGTAAAAGAACATTTTTGGTAGATTTATTTTAAAAATGTAGATTTCATCAGATCTGATTGGATTAAAAAAGAAAAACAGTATCTGGAGGTGCAATTAAAAAGTCTTAAGTATCTTATATAGTGGCATGTTCTCCACCATAGTGTTTAACCCCGTCCAAGAAGATGGTAGGAACAAATTCCATATTATTGCAGACAATACACCATGGTGTGAAGTTACTTTTACCATAAAAAACACACAAATATTTGTTTTCCACAGTTTGTTTTTGCTGGCTTTTTATTTATTTTGAGAGACGGGGAGAGCGCGAGAGCGCACAAGGTGGGGAGGGGGGAGAGGCAGAGGGAGAGGGAGAAGCAGACTCCCCGCTGAGCGGGGAAGCCCTACATGGGACTGGATCCCAGGACCCTGGGATCATGACCTGAGTGAAGGCAGAGGCTTAACCGATGGAGCCACTCAGGAGCCCCTGTTTTTGCTGGCTTCTTAGAAGTTCACGACCCTAAATTCCTGGTCTAGTTTGTGTCACCTCTCTGGGTTTAGATTCCTCAACTGAAAAATGAGGAGTTCAGGCCACACTCAAAATTATCTTAGTCTCCTCTAATTCATACTCTTTGATTTAAATGGACGCTTTGTGATTGATGAATTAAATTGGATTTTAAGCAACGTGTGCTTTAGCTAGCTGTAAATCTATCAATGGAGGAATCTTTTTTTTTTAATAATTTTGAAATTTTTGTTTTTGTTTTTTAAGAGAGAGAGAGCGCGCCTGAGCACGAGGGGGGAGGGGCGGGATGGGGGCGGGGCGGAGAGAGAATCCTAAGCCCGCTCCATACCCAGCGCCTAGTAGATGCTGGGCTCCATCTCCAAAGCCTGAGACCTTGACCTGAGCTGAAATCAAAAGTCAGATGCATAAGGGACTTAGCCACCCAGGTGCCCCAAGGGAGGAATCATTTTTATTTATTTTTTTTTTTAAAGATTTTATTTATTTATTTGAGAGAGAGAGAAAGCATGAGGTGGGGAGGGTCAGAGGGAGAAGCAGACTCCTCGCTGAGCAAGGAGCCTGATGCGGGACTCGATCCCGGGACTCCAGGATCATGACCTGAGCCGAAGGCAGTCGCTTAACCAACTGAGCCACCCAGGCGCCCAGGGAGGAATCATTTTTAAGTAGACATGAAATTAATCCCTACTATCCTTCCCTCCTACTCTCATTCTACCACTCCCTCCCTTTCTATTATGCTTCTCCCATCACGGCAAATTTTCACCCCTTTTCTCCTCCAGATGAATTCTTCTAGGAATGTAACAATTTCAGAGGCAAAAGATATGAGTGTGAGAGAATGGTAAACAGCACCTCTCTGGGCTCTGACTTATTCTGGAATTTTTTTTTTTCTAAGAAGAATGTGAGGATATGAGGCACTCACTGCCCCCAGGCTCTTTGTTGAAGCCCCCTCAGTCCCTGCAGGGCCTCATTAGGAAACTTGAAGAGCTAGACAAGGAGCATATGGATCAGTACTCAGGAGCTGCAATTCTATTTGACCTGCCATAGTGAATTTCCAGGCTAACATCTAAGTTAAATGTGATGGGTGATAACAGCAAAATAGCTGATACCACTTGCAAATGGAGCAGAGCTCAGCACTGGAGTGATTGATTAATAGTAATATTGAAAATTGCATGTCAGACACAGGGGTAGAGTTACAATGGAAAATTTTCACTTTCTTTCAGGTAGTGTAGTGTATTTTTAGCTTAACCTTTCTTCTTTGCTTTGTTCAGGAGGAGAAATTGAGCTATATACTTTACTGCTTCTATTTTATGAACATTTTTTTTCTATAAAAATGAAAAGCAAATCTGTTAAATAAGTCAAGAGCATTGTCTACTACGGAATATCTGAAAATACCAATCACTTTAGTCATATAGGATATTGATTTTTTTTCCCCTGATCAAACTTTTTTTGTTCTCACCCAGTCAGTTTGGTTTTTGGTATTCTGTAGAAGCTGCCTGAATCAGTAAGGATGACCATCAGTTTCAGAGAGAAGGGAAATTATTGATGAAGTCCTTTAAGTATGTGTGTGGTGGGGTAGAAACTTCTACGAGAATTGCATTATAATTGAGCTCTTGTACCTCATGTCTTCATATGCACACTAATCCTATTCATCTGATAATTGTGAGCTGACTTTAGAATATCTTTCCTGGGATGCTCAATGTTCCTTCTTTTCTAGGAACAATAATGTATCCCCTATAAATTTACCTTTGAAGTGCTTTGATCTCTCAACCTAATTTCATCTCTGTGAGTTATTATCCACATTAAGTAAATTCCTTGTCTTTTTTTATATGCTTAGATTTTTAGCTATTTAATAACTTAGAAATAAAGATTACATAGGCAAGAAATGCATTAACTTGTATCTTACCCCAAATGTTACATTAGTGCTGAATAAGGACATATCTGATGGGAACCAGTTGGTGTGGTGATGCTGATATGATAAGTTGAATTCAGGATGGAAGCTCTTATGAAGGAATACACCTTAGGCAGCCTCCCTTCCACTAATTTAAAGTAGCTTTAATTTCTAAGGGGACCTGATAAAAAAGATCCTTATCCCCTTAAAAAAGATAAGCACAGAGTCTTTAATACCATTTTCATGTATGGAAAACAATAATTCTCTTAGTAACAATGGAATCAAATCAGTTCATCTGCCAGCCAAGAGCAATCCCAGTGTATACGGGGACAGCTAAACATATTGACTGACACACATCAGTTGTGTGAGAAAGTGAGGCTTGGGAAGTACATTCATCTTTAGGATGCTGAGACACTCTTATACCAGTAGTGTGAAAATTTCTATCAGAATACCAAAGAGAAGGAAAGGCTGACTGTAATCACTAATAACATTTATTATTTCATATATAGAATTGACATAGAATTGAAAACATCTAGTAGCATACAGAGTGGTGCTGTCTTCCTGTCAAATGCTTCATCATGCTTTCTGTAACTTAAAATGAAAAAGAATCTCCCTGAGAAGTGAAATAAAAATCTCCAAATACAAATTTGTTTGAGAATGTATGAATTTTCTATTTTTTTTATTTAGAAGCTATACACAATAGGAAATGTTAGTTGTGGAAAATTGGACCTCTCACTGGGCTATGCAGATAATCTGTACAGGAGCTATGATTTTTTTTTTTTTTTTTTTTTTTTTTTTTAGAGAGGGAGCCTGCAAGGCCTGAGAGGGGAGGGGTAGAGAGAGGGAGAGAATCTTAAGCAGGTTCCACCCCCAGTGCGGAGCCATCTCGGAGCTCGATCTCACCACCCTGAGATCATTACCTGAGCCGAAATCAAGAGTTGGATGCTCAACTGATTGAGCTATCCAGGCACCCCAGAATCTATGAACTTAATAGACTTTTTTTTTATGGAAATATACAAAGCTAGCCTTAATAATGTCAGAGAATATTCTTAGTCACTTCAGAACCACCAGCAACACCAGGGCTACCGTATTGCATAATTCTAGGGAAAAAAAGACCAAAGTGAGTGGCATCCTCTGGAGTCATGCAAGGCAATAGTCTTAAATATCAGTTTAACAAATAGGTGGTGGGTGAGATCTGTCTGCCAGGTCATTTGGATGATTTCTACTTCAAAAAAATTGGTAATCAAACATGGTAAAATATGAATATTGAGGGATGAATTATTTGATGTGGAGAGATATGGGATAGGTGAAGCTAATTTAGTTTTAAATTTTCTAAAGTACTTTGTAACAATAAAAAAACTTCTTGGGCATTGAGAGCAGAATCAGATTAAAAATTTACAATATTTTTTTCTACTATCAGGTAAATAATAAGGCCACCAGAGTACTTCCTGGTTAGAAAGGAAAAGGAAGACCTACATCCTAAATAAGATGGAAGGCAGAGTGTATTTTTAATAAGTCAATGGCTTTCAAGTGCACTTTTACTATATAAAAATAAAAAAAAAACTTAAATATCAATAGTTTATCACAGGCTATCATTTGAGTAAATTATTTTAGAATGTTCAGGTGCTAGAAATTGTGTGTGTGTGTGTGTGTGATCAACTTTTCACCTATAATGAATTACTTAGCAAGTAACCACAATATTACTTAAGGAGTTTTAGAAAATAATTAAAAAGGAAAATGTTGACCAGTACTCAGCTAATTACATGATAAGCCTGATTTGAATCCCTGTACATTCACTATACTGTATCATTCTTATTTTCACTTTTTGGCCTGGCTTTTGCAATGTTACTTGAAATTACAGATTTTTAGCATTTGAATTGTGAAAAGAGTTAGTTTAAATTAAGAAATTAGAAGGACCAGTTATTTATCTTCTGAGTTTTAAATAGAGAAACCTAAAAGCTACAAATTATTACCTTATACTAAATAGTTTTTAATTTTTTTACTTGGGTTAAGAAATTAATTTCCCCTGGGGCACCTGGGTGGCTCAGTTGGTTAAGCGACTACCTTCGGCTCAGGTCATGATCCTGGAGTCCCTGGATCGAGTCCCGCATCGGGCTCCCTGCTCGGCAGGGAGCCTGCTTCTGCCTCTGACCCTCCCCCCTCTCATGTGCTCTCTCTCTCTCATTCTCTCTGTCTCAAATAAATAAATAAAATCTTTAAAAAAAAAGAAATTAATTTCCCCTAATATAACTTCCCTTTGACTTGCTCACTTTAAGAATTTGACTTTATTTGAAATACAATTTACTTCAAGCATTCACTG